CAGCAGGATGGTAAAGACATACGCAATCGCCAACACAATAAATTGGTTTACCGTTCAGTATTTCTCTTTGGCCATGCAAACAAATGATGCACTGAAATAAACAAAGATGAAAAAGTGAATGGATAAAAAACTAGATAGAGCAAAATCTAAAAGAAAACTGTTATTTGCCATATCAGTTACAAGGTTACATACGGAATTATGCATGTTGCTGTACAACTAGCTTGAGAGAGCTGCCACTGTCTATATCTGCGAATCTGAACATTCACTATATCCCCATCAGCAATAGACTCAGCAGCACGGGCAATCAGGTTCATGCGTTTTATCCCATTGTCATCCTTACCGGCCAAGCTTGGTTTATAATTAATATAATTTTCCTGCAATGCATAATGCCATAAGGAACAGTTATGAAAGGAGTACTTGAAACACAAGCCACATTTGCAGCATTCAAGAATACGAATGTTCATGGATCAATTTAACCTAGGGCAGGTTTCAGATATATTTTCAGGATAGGGAATTCTAACATATAATTGGTATAACAACTGATTGAAATCTAAAACCATACCAATTTTAAATAAGTCATTCTGCAATACTGTTCATATAATGTACACGTGAAATCAAATTTGAAAGAGGTTAATATAAGAAGTGCTATCCAAGCCATTGTCCACCAAGCTTTGGTCTTCACAGATATAATTTAACAGCTAACTTGATAAAATAAATGAACATGAATACCAACCTAATAAGAAGAGGACAGATCAGATCACTCATGCTAAGGTTTATCCTCTCATCCATTTTCAACTTCCCAGCATTAAAACCAAAAAGCCTACAAGAAAAGAGATGTTGTTGTGAGATTGAACTTGGCCACAACCTTCTGAGCAGTTAATCCTTCAGATTTGAATGAAATCTAAGCCATGCAGAGCGCCTCCAACCACCCCCCGCCCCCCCTCCCAATGGATCATTGATGAAACGGCAAACATTCACAGAACTACAGCTTATAAAGTATAAACCTTATAAATGTCATCACACCCACTTGTATCAGAGCCGACTAGTGAAAAAACAACATAAATCACTAGAAATCAACATTGACATGAGTGTAGGGGTCCTCAATTGATTAATTGGAACAAATAAAAATAATTAAGAGAAAGAACCATATTCATTAAAGAACAACTTTAATAGAAAAAATTCATTTGTTTGTCTAAACCATATCAACTCAGTTTTCACATCCTAAACATATTTTTCTTACTCCTCAGAATACCAATTGAAAGTCCATTTTGCCTTCACCCAAGTCCCGTATCATATAAAACTTCTCACAGAAAAATCTCCCTTTGAATAAGTTCATATTTTATTCCAAGGGAATAAAAAATTGTTTAGTCCATTAAGGAGGCCCATTGACATTCTAATGCTACGAACGAAGGCATGAGATATTCAACAGTATATAATGATTTTAAAGACTAGTCAGAGATAAAATTATATATTATACTTATCAACAGCCGTGATGGTGGAAATGTCTTCATCCTTGCATTGGTAAGAAAGCCGTTGTCTAATGTCGTCATAGTTGATAATTGACATAGAGAGGCTCATATACTGTAACTGATTTACTGCCATCCGCATATCTCCATTAACTCTTTCTGCTAGTTCCTCAAGAGCAATCTGAAACAATCATTGTGAACAATTTAAGAAAATAGGTAAGTGAACGCAAAGAAAATATTTCACAATTTGAGATGGATATAAATGATTGGAAGTAACTTTGAACCCTCGAGTCCCACAATTAATCCAAAATAAAAATCCTCACAAACAAGATGGAACTTCGTAAGTCAAAAAGAAATCACCTCATTGACTTGAAGCCCTTCAGACTTTGCAACATCCATCAACCTCTTTGCCATCTGACATGAATAAAATATTAAGTTCAAAACTCTCCGTCCTCAGCATAATTGTTTTTTTAACATGCAAAGGAAACTAACAAACTTAAGAAAGTAATGCTACATGTTGCCGAATAGACCTGCATTTTAAGGGGGGAGCAGATCCAAAACTGCAGAATATAGTAGACTGAAGTGAAAGATGGGTTTCGCTGGAGATGGATGCCTCTGTCACTCGGGTAGCATAGAAGGAAGGGACTCTGGTGCTCTAGTTTTCAAAGGTCCGTAAGTTAACTTTGTCCTCGATCATTTTCAAAGGTCCGTAAGTTAACTTTGTCCTCACTATAGCAACCCTTCTTTATGGGCAAAAAAACTTTAAAGGGCTGACACGTGAATGAAAAATGAACTCATCATGTACTGTCACTGCTGAAGGCTTCTCAGCCACACGCTGAATGTGCCATTGATAACTATGTTCTCCCCCTGAGCCCAAAATAAAGAGGGTAGCAGGATGGTAAAGACATACTGCATCTGCCAACATAATAAATTTTTTACCTGTTCAAGTATTTCTCTTTGGCCATGCAACAATGATGCACTGAAATATACAAAGATGAAAAAGTGAATGGATAAAAAACTAGATAGAGCAAAATCTAAAAGAAAACTGTTATTTGCCATATCAGTTACAAGGTTACATACGGAATTATGCATGTTGCTGTACAACTAGCTTGAGAGAGCTGCCACTGTCTATATCTGCGAATCTGAACATTCACTATATCCCCATCAGCAATAGACTCAGCAGCACGGGCAATCAGGTTCATGCGTTTTATCCCATTGTCATCCTTACCGGCCAAGCTTGGTTTATAATTAATATAATTTTCCTGCAATGCATAATGCCATAAGGAACAGTTATGAAAGGAGTACTTGAAACACAAGCCACATTTGCAGCATTCAAGAATACGAATGTTCATGGATCAATTTAACCTAGGGCAGGTTTCAGATATATTTTCAGGATAGGGAATTCTAACATATAATTGGTATAACAACTGATTGAAATCTAAAACCATACCAATTTTAAATAAGTCATTCTGCAATACTGTTCATATAATGTACACGTGAAATCAAATTTGAAAGAGGTTAATATAAGAAGTGCTATCCAAGCCATTGTCCACCAAGTTCTTCAGGCTATTGGTCTTCAAAGATAATAATTTAAACAAGCTAAATTGATAAAATAATGAAAATGAATTACCAAACCTGAATAAGAAGAGGAACAAGATCAGGATCACTCATGCTAAGGTTTATCCTCTCATCCATTTTCAACTTCCCAGCATTAAAACCAAAAAGCCTACAAGAAAAGAGATGTTGT